CTGATTGCGCACGAACCAAGTTGGGATTCTTCATAGTCCATGAGGATCTACATTTTAAAAATAGTCCCACTCAAAAAGATTTTTAGCACCTCAGGCGGTTCCCTCGTTAGTGAAGTGACAGCATTTGGTTAAGCCCAGTCAACATTCAATTTCGTCCAATTGACGTGGATGTATATTGTTACAGCTAGATTCAAGATGACGAATGAATCTTGAATCTAGATGCAAACATCTGCTTCATGATTTTTCTTTCCCTGTTCAAGTGTTCGATTGTACCAACTGTGTAGTGTTCTTCTGTACTTTACTTCTTTCTGTTCTATCCTTATCTCTCGCAATCAAGTACCTTGTTGCTTTGAAACTTGTCTAAGTTTATTTGGATGAAGAGAATTAGAATAAAAAAGAACTGATAACTGATAAGAAAAAACCAGGCTTTATCATCTTTTGTATTATTTTTAAAGAAAATAATAAACATCTGTAATAAGAACTTTAGTGCAATTGCGACTGAACTACCCTCAACATAATTTGTTTAACATAATTAAGCGTTTATTAATTAAATTTCTATATTATTTGCTATTCTGTATTTTTTTGTGCATAATTCAGAAAATAACAAAGCGTCATCAGTATACATGTTTTTTTTCGTTGTCTGATGTGTTCCTCTCTTCTAACAAGTAAAAGTTCTTTTAGACGCAAGTCAGAACAAACAAAGAAACAATGCAGGTTTTCTTCTTTTTTCTTATATTGCGGTTATTTCTTTATCAACAAGAATAAATCTGTCATCAATATATCATGTTTGATCAACACTGTTCTGCTAAGTTCTACCTCATCTCTCATTTTTCCTCGCGTGTTTTATTGCATATTCAAAAGTCTGTTTCAGCCACATACAAAGTCAGCACACTATACGCTAAACCTAATTCAGACAGACATTAAGGATAGAACTCTCCTCTTTTTGGGCTTTCCGTTGAAATGCCGTGAAATAAAAACTAAAACTTCATATTTTCAGAACTCATTGGAGCATTTTTTCGTTTCTGCTTCAAGTTTTTAGCTATCACCGCTCACGAGTTATGCAAACTCGGTTTTTCATTCTGTCACATTACGACCCGCTTTGTATTTCATCGGTCGAGCTAAAAACCTTACCAGAGGTATTCAAGATAATATTGAAGAGGTAATTTTTGGGAATGTTTTTTGAGATCTTTCCTTGTCGAGTTATAGGAAAAATACTGAAAAACGCCTCAAAAACCAAGTTTTTCAATTTTAGACATCCTATAACTCTCATTGTGAAGAAAACACTTCCTTCTATTGGACTATGTGTAAGAAAAATTTTGAATGTACAGAAAAGGAGAGGAACGTTTCGATCTCATTTTGCAGCCCACACTTTCCTCTACATTAAGCATGCTCAGCTCAAAATCCGAAATTTTTTCAAAAAGAGTAGTGGAGTAAAGCGTCGGAAATTCACACTTGCAGTGCTTTTTATTTTTTCGATTTTTGCACCGGGTTCCATGTACCTCGTCGAGTTGCATCCGAACATGTGTCTTAACATTTCGGGAAATTTTTTTAGGGTAAAAAATATGAAAAAACTCAAAAATTTCAACCCTTAAAAAACAGTCTAGTTTTTGAAAATAATCAAAAATCTCTATCTTAATCATCTTTGGGAATTTTAAAAAAATTTCTTTCTTTTTCTACGTCGAAAACTGCATCTAAAAAACCTATTTTCAATATTACACAGACATTCTTTGACAAAAAAAATTTTAAAGCTGCGGAGAGCGGGAAAGTTCATCCTCCGTTCGCGCGCCAAAAACAATTTGGGCAAACCATTTAGAAATGAAACAGCACTTGAACGGAGGCTTTGGCCACTACATCTCATCTTTCTTGATCAAAAATTAGTTATATAATCATGATGTCTTTCTCAATTTTCATAAATCACTTGACAATGCTTGGAATAAGAGACTCTTACTAAAATCGAAACCAAAACCGTATCCCTTCTGTTATTAAACTAATATCCCGATCGAGATACAGTTAACGTGGTGATGATGATGGTGTATCTCTTTATCACGTCACCAAGATAACTTGCCTTTCAAAAACTTTTTCATCAGGTAAATCGTGACTTAATCACTATCTACAAACTGATTATGGCTTGAAAACTATACATTAAAAGCAGTGATCAATGCAAAATTACGCTACATCAAAAGATCTATAATCAAGTTCTCTTTTGTCAGAAACAACATTTTACGTCTCTACGTATTTAACTGCAAACGCCTAGGACTTATTATTAAACCTAGCCCGAACTAGATGGTCCATGTAGAGTATGTATCACACAAAGTTAGCCGTTTAACTGGTCTTAAGCTGCATATTCATGTACTATCTCGTCAGGTTCTGAATGTAGCTATGATTTCTATGTTTTAACTCAATTTAATTATGCATTAGTTCCTCATACTTGAGAAATTGAGGACGCATTTAGAAACTGCACACTATGCAGTAGCAAGGATTATATTCATTTTAAGCTGTGAAGCTCAGTTTCTTTGTACTCAACTATCGGCATTAGTGAACTACAAGCAGTGTTCATCTCCGATTTGCTCGACCATTGGCAGGACGAACATAACTCAGAGTTAATTAAAATTAAACATAATTTTAATGTAAACTCTTGTGCATTTTCTTCCAAGTACTATTGTTTACAAACCCAGTCTTCACCAACCACAAATCTCAGTACTAGAGACTATGTCTAAAAATTGTTGCTGCAGTTAAATCTGACTTAATCGCCACATTATTTCAATACTAGAACTGTATGTGAGCATTTTTTGTCGCCAAGTTTTTATCTACACACAGTAAAATTGACGTGTCGTCATTAGTATTAGGTTTATCAACTGTTTGAACTAATGTTGAAAAATTTGGTTTTGGATTCAATACATTAGTGGCCATCATACTAGTACTTTGACTCGACGTACCCAGACAGGGTATCAACAAGAAACAGTTCCGATTTGTAATTGTTTCCGATCGATTTGTCGATCTTTTATTTCGACCATTCTCATTATAGTCTGATAAATTTCTTTCACTTTGACTGTTATTATGATTTTTCGTCTGTTTTCTTGTTATTTGCAAGGATTTGTGATTTGATAATAATTTTGTGTTGGTGTATGGCGGAGCACAGCTTGTTTGATCGAGCTGACACGAATTTTGATTAATTGATGTGAAACTCGCTGCTCGTTGAACACCTTGCTGAGTGTGTAATCCTGCCATCGATATATAATATCCAGCTGTATTTCTCTTATGTAACAAACGGAACTTTTGAAAAAGTAATACCATCTCATTTTTGAAGATAATTCGAAACTTTTTACCAGCAAAACAATAGATAAAAAAGTTGACGACATGTGGTAAATCACTAAGAATGTTTTGTAATAACGATGAATAAACACCGAATTTATAAATATTTAAATCTTTGTCTGTGATATTTGAGCAATTTCGTAGTACAGGATACTGGGCGCGTGAATCATGTAGAACTAAACGTGGATCATAAATTTTGATTAATATAAAAAAGAATGTGTTTGGAATATTGAAAATGATCAACGATGATGTAACAGCGAGTAACATACGTGTTACTTGTGTACTTGTTCGTTTCATGTTATCCGAGGTAGTATGACTAGTGCCGCGACAAGACTGCCGCTTAGTTTGCTCATACTGTAAAGAATTTCGCACAGGACACGGTGTATGATGTTGTTCTTGTTTTAATTCAACAGATCCATGAGTAGAACGTTTGCGTTTGGAGAATAAATTCATCGAATATATCGTTTTTTTCTTGCCCTTGTATAGCATACAGTTACTGTTATCGTTCACCACACTACTACGAGTCGTTTCATTCCAAGACAAGGTTTTTTTAGTGGCATTATGTAATACAATGGCTATACAAACATTGGTACTAATTATTATACCTGCAAGAGAAAAAAAATTTGACAGATAGAAGGAGAAAAATGATGGTGTACTCACCTATTGGTAGAAATGATGCTGTAATGACATCGATAAGAATTGATTCTGTTAGTAATGTACAATATTTTAAAGTATTTATCAATTTTATACCAGCTGTTTTGACAAAATATAAATTAAGACATAACAAAACACTTGAGGCAACAAGACACGAAATGCAGGCACGTTTTGGAGTTGATAGTGTGGCACTTTTCAATGGATAACGAACAGCAATTAGCTTATCTCTAAAATAAAACAACGGAATAAGAACTCTTACGTAAAACAAATTAAATTCTGTTATCATCGTTTCCTTGAAGAAGTACGATGATCTGTTGATAGTTCCAGTAAAAAGCAATGATGGTCTATCTCTAACTAGTTGATATTCATCGCTACTATTATTTCTAGGAGTTTAACTACTTACATTGACATGAGTACAATAATCCACATATCGACAGAGACGGATGTATTCAATAAAACATACAATAATTTACAAAATGGTGACGTTAGAAAAGATATATTATGTCGTTTTTCAGCTGACTGGTAGTTAAGTTCAGCACGAAAAAATTTTAAACATATACAAAGCATATCGAGTATAGCTAATGCACTCAAATAATAAACTGTTGTAGATTTCTTAGATAGACGTGGTCGTGATAATACGGTATAACATAAAATATTCAATAGAATCCCTGGTACAATCAAAAATCGTAAATAAGTGGGAACTAAACCTTTTACTAGTATGTAAAATGATGAATATAAACGATGTTGTACACATTTTGCATTACGTTGAGCAATCAAGCCTGACGAGATGGAATAACTACTGCTGCTATTCTGATATAGTAAAATCTGTGTAATAGCGTCGATTGTTGCTGTTGTTGAACTATTCATCTTTTAAATCAACAGCTAAAATAAATGAAATCTATGCTAAAAATAAGAGCAACAATATTTGTCGGTAGTCAATGTATACGTAAGATAAACGTCTGGCATCTTTTTCTCTATCTATTCAAACATATTACACTAATATGGATGTTAACATCCAGTATTTTTTATGAGATAAGACTTCTGAGTTCATAAAAATACTTGTCAAAGTTATACGATTGACGCACCAATTAATGTACTTTAGAGTCTGGACATTATAAGTGGACAATTATTTTGTTCGATGCGTATGATTTAACAATACTTCATTCGAAACTCAGCATCGGTAACTCATGCCCTACTCCAGAACAAGTTACTCATATACGCACGTACCACTGATCACCCATTTTATAGCGTATTTGTTACATTAGAAGGCTACATTGCAGACTTACCATCTATTCACAGCTGTAGTTAGTTGATCGTCAGTAAAGAAATGGGTGATCATATTCAAGAAGTTGTTAGCGCCAGAGAAGATGCCTACCTTGACAAGACTGACTTGTCAGCATCCTGCACTAACCACAGTAGCCGTAGTCTTCTTTCTGATGAGTTACATATGATACATGAAACCGTATCGTGAAAACTTCCCTCTTGTCTACATACACTACTACTTTATGATCTACACTTTGTGTTGGAACGTACCATTCATTTTGGATCATGATCAACGTTCAATTTACACTCTCTTTGTGGAGTCTAAACAAAACGTTCATCTGATCATTCTAATGTTCTTCGTACCATAGAGAAAACACGTACACTAACACTTCTTCAATTTGTTTCATGCTGCATATATTATCACCTCTTCATCATTTAACTTTCTTCCGATACCTTTCTCTTCTGACAAACATATTTTAGTAAATCATCTTTTCACACAGTTTCGATCTCTAGACAACAGCTGTTGAGAAACTGAAGTTGAGAGTCTATTATAAGCTATCTACCAGAAGTGAGACAGGTTGATAATATTTTATTTCAAGATCAAGTTTCGTAGTGATAGAGTTTTGCACGAATTGAGAGAGTGGTTATTAGGTCTCCTCTTGTATGTCAACATTTTTCATCGCTCTTTTTCGATATCGAAAATGAAATAGATTTTACCTTTCAATTTCCACTTAAATGTGAGTAATCAAATTATTTTCTCATTAAGAGTCATAAAAAATATACATGTTGAGAAAAAATATTAAAATGAATTGTTTCTCACCTTGTATAGCTTATACATTGATAACTATTATTATGAATACACACATGTGCTCTTACAATACAAATAACTACAGAAAATATGCTGCAATATATATATAGAGATAGATGGATATATTCTTTGTAATATCTAAATGTTTTCTGAAATCTATTAGAATGATTCTTTTTTGTCTGTTCTTTCTCTTATTTTCTATGATGGTGCTGATTTTCTATAGTATAATGAATACTGAGAAAAAAGTTATTTTTTCGGTTCTTTCTCAGCGTGTAACGTGTATTGAAGACAACATCACTGAAAAAAAAAGAAAAGAATATTCTAAAAAGACTTTTCGAAAATATTTCTATATGAAACTCATTTCGGTTTTTGAGAGTATCGTTCGGAAGAATATTCGAAGTCTAGAATACTCAAACGAGTATCATATAGTAACATTTTCGAAAACCCTTAAAAATGTTTTCATGAGTTCAATTACCCTTTCAAAAACCTTTCTTATTCCGTTTGTAAACTCGTTCACGGAAACCTGTTCAAAGTCGGTTTCCGAAAAAAATATTCTATGTAACCTTTTTTTCTCACAACGTACAATTACTTTTCGGCATGCACCGATTTCGGTTTTTAATCAGTTAATCGAAACCGATCATAATTGATATAATCGGAAAACAATTTTCTATTTGCACACATTTTTGAAAGTATTTTTGAAACAGGATGAAACAAACATCTGATCTGAAAATGTTCAGCTTACAATTATGAGCATTTTTTTTTTCTATGATGAACATTTCAGATGTTTCCTTCATCCTGTTTTAAAAATACTTTCAAGAATATGTGCATATAGGAAAACTTCTTCGGTCATATTGGGTAACCAAAACTGTTGCATGCCTAATTACGTTTTTATAGTGGAAGTAACAAACGTACATGGTAACGAATGGGAGTATCTTTTAAAGTTTTTGACGTTTGTATATAAAGTATGCTGAAGACTAATTATTTTTCAATGGGAAAGGGAATTACTATCATTCTGCGTTCCAATTAAAACAACAAGAAAACGTTTCCTTCCAAAATAGATAAAGGATTTTTCGAAATAAATTCAACACAATCGAAAAGATCTTTTCTAAAATCGATAATCGAATTCCTAATATGTTTTAGGTTTTAGAAAACGTTTAAGAGAAAAGGATTTTAGAATATACCCTGTGCGGTCTTTAAGAATACTATTTTGAGTATGAGAAAGTTTTTTGTTCTATTCAAAGCAGTTTTCTAACTTTCTAATACCCTACGGGTATTCTCGAATACGAAAAGGGGTTTTCAAGATCATACGCAGAAGAGTTTTCAAAGCGTCTAGTGTTTTTTTTTCTAGCTTACACTTTTTTTTCAGAATAAATTGGCCATTAAGCGAATTACTTCACAGATAACGGAAAAATACATAAGATGGGCAAAAAATAGTCTATTGAACAAAAAACAACATTTAAACTTTAAAATCACAGTACTACGTGTTATAGACTTCTTCTGTTAGTTCTGTTATTTCTGTTTCTGTTATTTCTATTAATGAGACTTCTTTTAACTTTTCGGTGGCAAATGTCCCATATATGGGACGATGACATTTTTCCTCTAATACGGGTATTAAATTGCACTTCGAATGCACAAAGAACATGTGACATAAAAGAAAAGAGGAGAAAATAGACAGAGATAAAAGATGATGCAATATATATAGTCCTAGAATAATAGTGATCACTACAAAAAAATAAATCTTTGACAGAGTATTATTTAGATCGAGACTGTTGAAAATATATGCATTTGCAGTAGTGTATTTTTTATTCAATTTAAGAACGTTTTCGATTCTTCTTCAGTTAAATGAATAAAAAATGTATCTATACATTTACAGACACATTTTTTATTCATTTAACTGAAGAAGAATCGAAAACGTTGTTAAATTGAATAAAAGTAATCTACTTCAAACGCACAGTTTTTCAACGATCTCGATCCAGATAATACTCCGTCAAAGATTTGTTTTCGTAGATTAATCTATCATATATTGAAATACTTCTAATAAAAATTATATTATAAAGAGTGAAGGCCGACTTTCAGCAATGGAAAAGATCACTTTGACTTTCAGACGCTTTTTACAGATTGTAATAAAGACTGCTTTTCCATTAAATATGAACAAGTTTTTCATTAAAAATAATTCTACTGTGAAAAGGTTAAAAGATTAATTAGAATAAAATAATTAAGAAATTCTAATTCTCTACGTAACAACTATCGACGTACTCCCTTTTGACTATCATAATGAAAAGGGTAGAGATTATCTATCACTTATGTAATTATCTTTGAATTTTTCTATTTTGCACATAGATTTATACTTGCTCTAACTGATTTCAAAACATTTAATTATAAATGAACAACGATTTTAAATTATTCAGTTCAATAATCATGTGTATATATATACTGATAAAGTAGAAAATCTCGATGATGATAAAATTAAAAAATGTGTAGTTTTTCAGTTTTTATTAGTCCAAAGAGTCGATTAAGATCTATATGTAATATGTCTATTTTCTTAAAATATTATCTTTATCATAAATGTTTCAGAAGAAAACTTTTTTTTTTATATATTACAATCCTTGTTAAATAAATTAAACTAATCTATATTAAATTCACATATTCTTTAGGCTTTCTCAAATTTATTCGTGCATTTTCTAACCATATTTTTTCATCATTTGAGAACGGAAACGAGAATTATTTACGTGATTCTATTCATATTGTTATACACGATATATTTAAACAATTAAAACTATATATCAATAGAAATGTATTGTAAATATATAAAATAAATTTTTTTAAGGTAAACTATTTAATTACCGTCAATTGTTTCAGAGACTGTTTTATCATCTATAGATGATTGATCATAACATAGAATATACTGTATTAATAAGCAGAAAAAATGTAACACGACACCCATTGTCTTCTTTTCTTATCCATTTTCTTTTTCCTTTTCATCTCAACAGAAAAATGTTTTTTTTTTTTGTTTTTTTCATCTTTATTCTAATATAGTTTAGATTTTATTTGTAGGTTATAGACGAAAGAACTAAACTATAAATGGAAAAATCATTATTTGAACTTAAAGTCACTGGAAAATAATGAAAAGAAATGAGGAAAAAAAAAATTATCATATGTATAGAATATTTATGATTGTTAAACAAGAACTTTTCAAGTGAATGGAATTTGTGTTGATAAGAGAGAATGATTGTCTATTGATGATCGAATTAGGATTAAAAAAAAAAAGAAGAGTATATTTCATAATTCGAAATTCAAAAGATCAAAATAAGATTGTCCGTCCTCTTATTTTGATTAATTAATTCGCTATTTGTCAATTATTAATACATCAGAATCTAATACTATTATCCGAAAACAGATACGATCTTTTGAAATCATATGATAACTAAAAACAATTGTAAATTGAACAAGACGTTTAAAAATGTATTGTATTTATAAAAGAATTTTCTAGAACAAAAAAAGAAATAAATAGTCTTACACTAAAACTATGTGAGAGAAGATTTTTATCAGATAACTGTTATACTATTTACTTAGAGCAGTTCAAAAGTAGTAGTAAAGGTACTTTATTTCCTTATAGAAAAACTTGAGAAAACTTCAATCTATTTTCAAAACATGTGCAATTAAATTCTTCTACAAAATTGATGTTGACTCTATTTTGCAGTAATGAAATTCTAAATTTCTAGAGATTAAACACTTCGATAGAATCAAGTGCAATCAGTTCCCACTGGATTTTGAAATTGTTCGTGTGTAGAATCTC